ATTGGCCTAGCACCTGCCTGCTACCAATCACCCACCTGCTGCCTTTTACCCCAACATTCACCGGTCGTCATTGTGTTTTTGTGGGTAAGAATTGGGCCTCCCGATTCAAGTGCCGAAGCTGCCTGATGGAAGACGCCAAGAGGATTGGGCGGCGGGCGGCAATCGGGGCCGTAACTTCATGGACCGAAATCCGGCCCGTCCCTATCTTGGTGTTTTAAGGCACATTGCTGTGGAAGCCAGCAATGAGCTCACTTCATTCATACTGGCAATTCTGATAATCATTTAGCAGATATAGGAGATGTCTGTTAGAGGACGTACAGAAATGACAGCAATAGTAGCACGGCCTTATCTTGTTAGCATCATCCCAAGACAAGGGTTGTCGATCACATATGCAGGCATAGCGCGGTGAGATTCGGAGCATGGATATGGCTTCCGGTTGGCCGCCTTGGAAATATGCACCGTGTAACTTGGGATGCGGTGAGGGCAGAATGCCTGCAAGGGAGTGGGATACGTGTTTCGACACGCCGACGAGCCGCACTCAACATATATAGGCCGATGTCGTCCGACGCCATTTGCACTCTCGGTCTGACATGTGCTAGCTTTTGGCTGACATTGAGATTGGCATTCAATACATTATTCTGCCCACGCCAAGCTCGACGACAAGACGATTGAGACATGGCCTTTAGGATCTGGCCTGGTAGTGTGATCCTTAAACACCAACAACATGGCAATCGCGCCGTGACCGGTAACGACGACGGCAACGGCCAAAGCCTCCAGAATGGATCTGGTCGCATTCTAAATACATCTGGTAAGTGTGTTGCACTGGGCGAATAGACGATTCTCCTGCCCCTTCTCCTCGGTTCCCAGCCCTGCTTGCACTCTGCCCGTTGCTGTGTCGTCGAGGCTGCTCCGAAGAGACGTCGTCGAGTTACCGGTTGAGTCACAAGACCAGGCCCATCAGTCGGTCTAGCAGCAGACGACACCCATCGGACATTACTCCCTGTCGAGGACCCAGTGCCACATGTTGAACCCCAGCTCTGGCAGCGGATCAGGGACGCTTCTGCAAGGGCGCTTTGGATGAGGTGGGAAGGGGCAGTCATGACGTGCTTACATCATCGGATGTCGGTATGACGTTTTAGCCTGTTGCTGGTTGAATGCTGGGAAGGAGCCTGTACGGAACTGCGATGGTGCCTGCCAGGGCGCTAGACTCTGAGACCAGCCGGTCAGTGCGCGCTGTCGCCATCGCATCCTCGTCGACGATATCGCAATACACCGATGCTTGAGTCAGAGGGCTGAGGGAGACGTTGCTTTTTCTCTTCCCAGGGGGCGTGTCTGTTCAAGTCGACTGCGCAATGCTGAGCTCCTGAAAGCTTCCTCCCGACCCTGAGATTCTTCTTCTTCTTCCTAGACCCCACCTCTCTCTTCTTTCCGACCTCCAATGGACTGAGAACCTAATCTTGAGGAGCCTCAGCTACACCCAGTTCAGCTTGCTATCACAGTCAGGCTGGTTGGTTCCGGCTTTTCCTCAATACTTCTTCTCCTCGACCAATTCCTGTACTTCCTCTTCAGCACACCCACACAAACCAGCGCCACTTGGCATGTACTGACAATTTGTATTGAAAGTAGTCGCTTCGCCTAGCCACGCAAGCGCAATGCCGCCGGTCGACGTGGTATCGTCGCCCACTTCTCCCGTCCTGAGCCCGACACACGAGGACAGCCTCACCTCCGACCTCAAGCCAAGGCTTGTCCACACCTTGAATCATGGTAGCACGGTTTTGGCTCTGGCTGTGAGTCCAGGCGACGACCGAATATACGCTGGTACTCAAGATGGCGAAATTGTGGCTTGGTCCTTGACCACCTTTCAGCGGGTACACACGATCCAAGCTCACAAACGAAGCGTCCTCTCTTTATCCGTGCTCTCCGATGCCTCTTTACTCTTCTCGAGTGCCGGCGACCCAATAATCAATGTGTGGTGCCCCAAAAGCCTAACGAGGCTGTACGAGATCTACAGCATCCACGATGCCGGAGATATCTTCTGTACCGCATACAGTCCCCAGCACGATACATTATATCTAGGGGCACAGAATTCATCCATCCAGTGGATCCAGTTGAGCGATTCAGATGCCAAGGTGTCTCCCGACTCTCAACGACACCCCAGCAGAAGGGCCCATCGCTTCTTCGATTCTAAGGCAGTTGGTGGCTCTGCTACACCACGCAGGACCGATGAGAGATGGAGTCTCATCCCCAAACCAAAGACTGTCTTGGAAATAGATAGCGGTGCGGTCCGTAACTTTGCACACAATGGATATGTCTACTGCATGCTCATGGCCAAGGGCCCGACAATTGGAGCAAACGCCGACTCTGACGTACTCATCTCTGGGGGCGGTGATGGGACAATCAAGTTGTGGAGTCTGGTCAGCAAAGCTCAAGATACCCAGGACAATGTTGGTGGTATAAAGGAAATCATGACCCTTGGGACAGACAACGCAGATTCTGTCTTCTCTTTGGCGATCGATGGATCGTTTCTTTATGCTGGGAAACTTGACGGCATTGTGGAATTGTGGGATCTAGATACGACACAAAAATTACGTGTCATCAAAGCCCACGATTCCGATATTATGGCTCTCCAGATGGGATGGGGCTTCCTCTGGACAGCTTCCAGCGACGGCTGGTCTGGTGTAAGTCTGCAGATGTTCATCTGAACCTTCAACAAGCCTCTAGCTAACAAGCTGTGCAGAAATATAGCACTGCCCATTATGGCAAATACCAGCAATCGGCTGCATTAGGCAAAGTCAACCAGAAATACAAGTGCCTCAGCCGATGGAAAGCTCACCAAGGCAAAATCCTTGCCTCTGCAACGACCTCCTTTAGCGACGAGCAACTCTTCATTACGGGAGCCAATGACAACAACATCTCTATATGGACGTTTGAAGATCTCTGCCAATCTGTTACTTCAATCGAACAGGGCACAGATGTTCTGTTATCCACTCTCAAAGACTTTGTTGCTTTTAAAAGCGTTTCGTCTCGGCCTGAGTTTGCTGAAGACTGTCACAAGGGCGCAACTTATCTCGGAGCTCTCTTCAAGCGGCTCGGTGGCCAAGTTGAGATGCTGCGTACCAATGCATCACACAACCCAGTCGTGTATGCTCGCTTTTCCGGAAAAACAGAAGGATCGGACAACAGAAAGCAAATCCTTTTCTACGGGCACTACGACGTCGTAGCCGCCGACAACAGGAAGGGTACTTGGACGAATGATCCATTCACTCTTACAGGCACGAATGGCTACTTGTACGGCCGAGGAGTGAGTGATAATAAGGGCCCAATTCTAGCAGCCCTATATGCTGTCACAGATCTTATGCAAGCGCAGAAGTTAGAGAACGACGTCATTTTCCTCATCGAGGGAGAAGAGGAGTATGGATCTAGGGGCTTCGAGGACATCGTTAAAAGCAACAAGGCCCTGATTGGCGATGTGGACTACATTTTACTAGCTAACAGCTATTGGTTGGACGACGAAGTTCCATGCCTGACGTATGGATTGCGAGGCGTTTTGCACGCCACCGTCAGTGTAGAATCTTCCTGGCCTGATATTCATTCTGGTGTGGACGGTTCATACATGATGGACGAACCTCTATCTGATTTGACTCTTCTACTGTCCAAATTGAAAGGGCGAGGCAATCGTATCCAGCTGAAGGGTTTCTACGATGGAATACCGCCTCTAACTCCCGAAGAGGAGGCTCGCTATGATGATATCGCCTCCATTCTGCTTAAACGCAGTTCAGAGTCCATCTCTGAAGATAAGCTGAAGCGATCACTGATGGCTAGGTGGCGGGAGCCGAATCTCACAGTCCACCGGTACAAGGTCTCCGGACCGGAAGGTAGTCTCATCAGTGGGCAGGCTAGTGCACACATCAGCCTTCGACTCGTCCCAGGACAGGAGGTAGACGATGTTGCTCGTGAGCTCACTGAATTCTTGGACCGTGAGTTCGCGGCCATCGGTTCTCAGAACTGGGTTAGAACTAGCATCGACAATAAAGCAGAGCCCTGGCTCGGAGACCCAACCAACGAGATCTTCCGCACTTTGGAGCAGGCCATCATCGAGGCGTGGCCTGCTTGCTTCGAGACGGGCTCGCCTGTTCTTAATGGAGATGAACTCCCCCGGTCCATCTCCCCCGTCAAGGCCCTCAAGCCAAGAACGCCTCTATATATTCGAGAGGGAGGATCCATTCCCGCTATTCGGTTCCTAGAAAAGGAATTTGGGGCTCCGGCGGCGCATCTACCGTGTGGGCAAGCGAGCGACTCAGCCCACTTAGACAATGAGAGGCTAAGCATGGTGAATTTGTTCAAGGCACGGGAGATCTTCAGTAAAGTTTTTGAGCGTCTGTAAACTTTGATGGTGTACGAATCTTTGCGGGTATTTTGCCCTAAGTTGTACAATACATGGATAGCGTCCGTTCTTAAAAGGGATTCAAGTTAGCCGACATGGAGAATGCTTCCAATTGGCATAGGAGTTTGGGTCTAGAACCAACCAAGTTTTGAAGGAAATCGTCCCTATTGGATACATTGACGTGAACATTCATCGTCATTATTGAAATTGATAATTATTTTGCCACCTGCTCCTATTATCTTTCCAGAGGAATTTGCCCTCTCATAGCTTTTGTCATCCTGCCAACCGGGTCATATAAGACATTGCACACGCAAATCATAGGCGTTTTTAATCCTCAGTCCAACAGCTAAATCCTATCAAAAGTAAATAAAACTATAAGATAATTCTTAAAGATCTAAATATGAAACTTATTGTCTTTGATGAGGGTATATTGTATATTTATTTCTGGGTTATTGGGCTATTAAGGTGAAGGGTTTGGCGAAATGGGATATCAAAGTACTATTCGGTGTGTAATGTCTTTATGTCAACCGGTTGCCCGCCCTGATCGCATCATGGCGACATGGAATAGTGACAAGAACATTAGCTGCCCAGCCCATTGAGTCCGTTATCACGCGCCTCAAGGCCGCTGTGCCACCCAGAACTGCGCCTTGTACGCATTTTTGGTCAAAGCTCGATCATTGAAACCATACGCCGCCTCCATTCCCCGTACATGGCGATCCGGAAATGTGAGCTCGCCGCACTCTGGCCCAGCAACGTCCAGAAACTTGAACCCAAGACCTTCCTCGGCGTAGACGATGATTTCCTCCAAAGACAGCTGAACGAAGGGGGCGGTTCCATACAAGAGTGGCCCTAAATTGATCCAGTAGCCCCCTGGACGGAGGAGTGTCTCGATGGTGTCGAAATAGCTTGCAAGGTTGCGAGCTGTGTCGATGAAGAAGTATGTGACAATCACGTCATAATGTCGGAACGGTTTCGTGTTGAATACCGTGGTGAAGTCGCCCTCGACCAGAAGAACCTCGCTGGCGTTGACGGGAGCGTCTGGGAAGGTGACTGGGCGTTGCATGTCGGCGGTGCTGACGTGATGAGACCAAAGGTCGACGAACGGATGAAACGTCTCGGAGTTGATGCGATGGCCGTGGGTTTCGAGGAAGCGGTAGGCGACGTTCATATACATTGACCACTCATTTATGGTGACCTCGAAGCCTACAGAGAGGTTAGTAACAGCTCCGGAAGTGCACCAGATCACGGCCTTTTTCGTGGAATTCCTACCTCCTAGCTCAGCAATTTCATGCCCCAAGCGTCCAATACCGGCTCCTGGCAGCAAAATCTTGAGTGGCTTGGACCGTTCATTTCGGTCGGGATAGAGCTTCTCGAGGACGCCGGTAAGACAGGCAAAGCAGTCGTCGCGTTCGTAGGTGCCCCCAGCAGCTGTCCAGTCACGAACAATGTGTTTCAAGGACTGGGATACCGAAATCTTATCGGCCTTCCTTCCCTCCTTTTCCGAATTCTTTATGTGCTCATTAAGTTCTGACCGGTCAATGACATAAAAGGAGAGGGCTGACTCGACAATACGGTCACAGAGCTCTTGGTTCTTTGCCAGAAGCTTTTCAATTTGGGTGAACTTGTCCGAGTAATGGACAAACTTCTCCAATAACTGGGCCAGATATCATTAGAATACCGGCTGTGCTTCTCGCCGGGCGTCAAACTCAACTCACTGCTTTCTGATGTTTGGCGGTATTGGAATACAAGCCACGGAGCCGGACCAATTCCTCGTTCTGTCGTTCTTGGTATTTGACAAAACCGTACAGTGCATCTAAAAGACGGTGTCGTACGTGATTGCCGTTCCAAGTGCCCTTGTTCTTGGGTAGCCTTTCCAGAAGCTTGGCCTTCTCGTCTTTATGGCGAGGTGTGTCTGGATGGGGTATTACACGAGGCTGCTCCACGGTCACAATGACTTTGCGAACCTCTGTCGGCTGAATTGGAGGGGGCTCAACAGCAGATGCAAATTGGGGCTGAAATCAAGTGTCAGAGTTGTATTTCTCTTTTCACGGCTTATCATTAATAGCTACAGACCTCTCCATCTTTGATAATCGGGATGGCAGCAAGTTCCTGCTGATTTTCACTTTGTGATAGGACGATGCTAAGGCAGAGAGCAGAACAGGCAAGAAATCTCGCGACAAGCTGTGGCCCAGGCATATTAGGTGGTCGTCAAAAAACGAAGGGCCGACTATAATACAAGGAGAAGAGAAGAAGAGAGGAGAGAAAACACAAAACAGGAACTCGAGACTCCGATCACGATGAGGCTGACATTTCAATGGAGTCTGGAGGCAAATCACAAGTTCGGCCGACCAGACGAGGCAGGTCCTTTTGTGCGTTTTATTTGGTTCGTGTCTGAAGCCCTGCTCAAAGGGCCAAAGTCGGTGCAAATGGTGCACCTTGATGGTTCGCCAAGAAGGCTGCGGCAATAAGCAGCCAGACCAGCAGCGGGACAGCTACAAGCTTCTTGCACGCTGGAGCAAATCACGTCCAACCTCTTGGTCAACGCAAACATGGGTCCCGTCCAAAAGATGGCCGTCCGTATCGGCGTATCGACCGTTTCGAGATGAACCTCTCGCCATCTTGAGCTATAAACGTGTGGGGGCTGAAGAGGGTCGCCCGGAACGCCGCAAGCCCAATCCAAGGAAGGATGGGCCACTTACATGGGAGCAGGCACGAAGGACCAACCTTCCTTGCCTGCATGATACGTATAAATACCCATCCTGTAGTTTTCTCTGCCCGGCCGACTAAAATCTCTATTCTGCCATCCCATCTCAGCCTTGCATCACGTTGTGCCTCGTGCCTCGAGTCTAGAACACTCCATCGCTCCCCCCCTACCGCCATTATGAGAACCTCTACATTCACTGCCCTCCTCGGCCTCGGCCTCCTGCCCCTCGGATTGGCCCAGAGCAGCAGCAGCGTGAACCCTGGCCCCTCTCCCACCAACTCTGTCGGTTGTGAACCCCATGGCGATCACTGGCACTGCGAGGGCCCTGCTACTCAGACTGGTGCCGTCACCTCTGCTACCGGCTCTGCTTCCGTCACTGCCAGCCACAACCACGACCACGACGATGACCACTCATCTGGCACTGCCAGCTTGAAGCCTAGCCCAACCAACTCTGTGGGCTGCGAGCCCCATGGTGACCACTGGCACTGCACTGGCCCTGCCACCGGCGCTGCTTCAGTCACCACCCCGTCTACCGCCCACACCGATGCTGCTGGCACCGGCAGCCTCAAGCCCAGCCCTACCGAGTCCGTAGGCTGTGAGCCTCACGGAGACCACTGTATGTTACCTTGTTCCCCTGATTATCTCGTCCCTGGCTTCTATACTAACGTTCTACACCCAGGGCACTGCGACGGCCCCGCCACCACTGCCGCCGTCTCTGGCTCTGGCACCTCTACCGGTGCTGCTAGCTCCTCCACCCAGGGCGGTATGGCTGCTGCTGAGTTTGTTCCTCTCGCTGGAGCCTTCGCCGCTGTTGCATTTGCTCTGTAAAATGATGAATTGGGAGGAACACGATACCATTGATTGTCTGTTTTGGCATATTGTAAAAGCTCATGAGTAGGACGACGGGTAAAATAGCTAGTCATATTGAAGGCTATGGCAACATAATAATAAACAAAAGTTACTGGCATCGTCTGAGAAAACTCAAGTCTTGTGATACTGGTTCTCGTGGTCAGTCGTCTTTGCGTTTTGAAGTCGTACTTAAAACTCCTTAAGCTTATAAGTAAGCTACGGGAAAGTTTAAACCTTTTTTTTCTGCTGTGCATCAGCCCAAACCAAACTTAAATGACGCATTGTACTAGAGTCAGTCTTCTCGCAGGGAACACGGTCAAGGAGAGGACAGGGCCAAACGCAGCTGGGGAATATCGAGGTACCTGGTGGAAGCGAAGAGTGTGCGTTGAGAACCTTGATGGTTTGATGCCGGGTGGGGCCGTTCTTTCGGCTGACCATCAAGGTTCCCGTTTATTGCCTGCTTGGAGTCGGTCCACCATAATAGCTCCTGACCCATGTTGCTTTAAAACGGTATGGAGAAGCTTTGACGATGGGGCAGTATACAAGTAGAGAGTGATTCCTAGAGACTGAGCTGGATGGGCTATAGACGAATCTCCTGATGCCAAAATCCAATGGAAAGAGACTTCCTCCCGAGCTGATTTTGAAATTGGAGCAGACTTGAAAACTGAGGATGATGTGGTTTGACATTTCTCTCCTTGGCGCCAGAACACAATAATGAGGCCTCGACACATGGTCACTTGGACGCTGTGGAGGCCCTTCTTGAATCTGGAGCAGATGTCGACGACAGAAATAATCGAGCATCTACAGCGCTTTGATCAGCCTCAGGGAATAGACCATGAAAGGTGGTCAGGCCATTTGGCCAAGTGAGGAGCATCGGGCGTTGGCAGCCGTTGACGTTCTGGCGCCGACCACGGCAGAATCGCCGATCCTCAACCAACCCTTGAGGCCAACACCTTATCTACAAGTTCCTCGGGCGTTCCATTCAACAAGAACAATAGCCCTTATGTTGCAGTGGTGTGCGCGCTCCGATGAGTGGCACTGTGATGTACTCGCCCTGCGCGAGCTATTCAACGCCCGCAGTTTCCTTATACCTTGGCAAGGTAGTGGAGAGAAAGGGTACGTTATAGGGGCCAGGACGGAGAGGTCCTCTTCGAATCCGAGCAGAAGCAAAAAAGTTTCTCTCTCTCGCCTTTCTTTTGCTAATTGATCGGCTGTCCGCTCTCGCAGCAGACCGAACATGCAAGATGATTGCTATTGGACACCCCTCCATTGGGTCTGAGAGAAGATTTTTTATGCCATATTGGAGGAGGTTTTGATTAAATATGAGACAAATGTCAATATTGTAAGTTACGACGGGTTAATGGCCCCTTTTCTGGCTCCGTAGAATGGCTGCTTGGATATTTCAAAGCTCTTCATCGAAGCTGGGGCACTTGTCAATACAAGAGACGGCGACAAACTCGATGTCGCTCTTTTGGGCCGCCCAGATCGGATACAAATCATTGGTAGATTATCTCATCGCTGATCGATCACGCGTTGTTGTTTAGAGTGTCGATATAACCACCTGTGGGCTTCTCGACCTCCCGCTTGCGTTTTGCAATGCCCGCTTCGTTGGTGACACCCAGCCTGGCAGCGCTGAAGCCCTTGCAGGATTTAATTCAAATTCATCAAGGACTGCCGGACTTTCGAGCGGTTACGATGGCTTGCTAATTTGGTTGGATTCGGCCCTAAACTGTCCACATGGTGAGGATTAGTAGTAGGTTCGAGGTATGTTTGCCGCGACGGTTATACTCCGAGATGAGGGCATGCCCAATGCCTCCAGCAGTGCATCTGCTTATTTTCATTTGCTTTCCCCCGCATGATTTCGACGGGTTCATATAGCCTGTGACGAGAATTGAGGTCTGGCGTTTGTCCAACATGAGGATTGTTTAAAGAGGCGAACATATGGTTTCATTGGGTGTTGGGATCAACACATCGCCACGCGCCCCATGTAGCATTGGGCAGGCCTGCCACATGTTGGCAACGCAGGTACTCGGCGATATCTCTGTAGAAACCAAACGATGCGACCTGTGGTTACATCCGCAAGCCAATCCACCTTGCTGACCTAGCAAGGGTCGCTGATGAACCACAGTGAGTAGGCCTATAGGACGTGTTCCACCACGGCGTCTTGGGACCTTGGTTGTTGAAATATTCTTAATCTCTGGATTTGAAAAACTGTTGTCAAAGCAACATTTATATACAGGGATGCCAGTAGAAAACCCATGAATACCCTCCAAGGCTCGAATCATGTGCAAAACCAATATACATTAAGATGGGCCAAATCTAATCAACGCGAGAGAAACAAACGCCGAAACACAATGACGCCAATGCACCTAAGCCGGATATATTAAATGTCCTTTCCCTCGCCTGATGCCTGGCTCTGCCTCTTTCCAGTGAGACAAGCGCCTAGGAAAACACGTGGTCGATAATCCCTGCCCTCCGCTTTCGTTTATTTTCAGTCGCTCGTAAATCAAGGATGTCGGAAAACTCTTCCTTCGCTCAGAAAACCACATCACCTCCGCCCCTGAGGCATCGATCCGGGCATTTCTACTGCCGAGAATGTGGTGTTCCCAGGCAACGCATCCGATGACAGCTCTGCCACCGGAGGTTGATGTTGCGCATATCCTCCGTGCGGCGCGTATGCCGGGTGCGGTTGGCCCTGGAAAGACGGCGTCGAAGGAGTGACCCACGAGGCGGGGGTTGCGATTGAAGTTGGCGCGGTAGGGGCCGGGCTGTGAGTTTGAGACTTGAAGTCGTTGTAGCTAGCGAATCCTCCTTCTGGATAGTTCGTCGGCATGTTGGTGCGGGTTGGGAGCATGGGATCCGACTCTGGGCCACGGCGACGGTAGCGGCGGAAGAGGATGAAGGCGATGATTGCAATGATGGCAACGCCCCCAACAGAAGCACCGACACTGATACCAATGGTCGCACCCTGGGACAGACCTCCCTTGTCGCTAGAATTTGAGGATGAGTCGGCGGTTGAGGTGGTAGTGGCAGTTGCTTGAGCGCTGGTTGTTGTGGTGCTGCCACCAGTGGAAGTTGCCGTACTGGAAGTTGCTGTACTGGTCGAAGATGAAGTTGTTTTTGTCGTCGAGGTCGTCTTGGTGGTCGTGGTTCCAGATGCTGCAGACATGAAGTCGGCCTGGCTGACCTCCATTGGGGTGCCCGAGGTCGAGCAGGCCTTCTGCATCACGTCGTAGGTGTTCTTGACATCGCCGGACGAGTTCTTTCCAATACACGCGGCGGCATTGGTGATGAAATTGCCTCCATTGCCACAAAGGCAGGTGTTCATGGCAGCTGCGTCACTCCCAGTACATTTTGACTGGTTTGCTGCCTGGGTTAGACAGCTCTGCGCGCCACTGGGGTAAAAGCTGAAGTCATTCTCGAGACCGAGAGCTGAACCGGCAAAGAGGAACACGCAGAGCAGTGACGCGGTCCACCGTACACTTCGTCGAGCCATGATGGGTTTCGATACTCAGAGAGCCACCAAATGATATACAGGTGGGGGCTCGTGGTGGTAGGCTGGGCACACAAGGGGAGAAACGAGAGCAAGCGAATGTTATCCCTCTGGCTCAAGCTAAGGATCCAGGTCCAACCGAGAGTAGACACGCGCTCGCAGTGCGTTGGCTATCAAAACGAATGTGCTGGTATATGATGGGTGGTGGAAGGAAAAGGAAAGGAGAGCTGAGCTGAGCCGTGGCGCCGAGGGCTTTCTCTGGGTGCACAAGCCAGGGGACGGGAGCGTGCGGCAGGAAAGAATTGCAGGCTTGATTGGATCAAAGCACACCAGTGGAAGGGCCAATCCATAAGCACGGCACGGAGTTAGCTGGCTAGCTCGAAAAGGCCGCCTTGGATCGCGACCAGGCAGTGGTTAATGGGGCCGATCCAGCCCTTTGGTTGTGAATCTCAGCCCCAGGGATTGCCGTGCAAGTCCCAAAATCTCTCCGGGGCTGGGTCGTAGCAGGCCTGATAGCGTCTCCTCCCCTGTACGATTCGGGCTGATGTGCCCGGCTAGGAGCGAAACGGCATGGCAGAGAGTAATTTTAGATGCGCTCTCTGATTCGCCTGTCGCCCGATCTAAGAAGCCTAAATCACGTGGTCTTACTTTCAACCAGCCGCAGGTTACGGATTGCCTTTCATGTAAGCACAACTGGAGCACCTCATTGGCCTTGTCGTTTGAGCAGGGAATACAGACGAGCTTTCGCAAGTCCCCCTTTCCATATTGTTACGGTAGTTGCAGGGCTGAAATCAGGTTGATCCCTGGCTCGAAAAAGAGCAGCTTGGGAGAATGGCGCAAGACCATGAACGTCTCAGCACAATTCGCTTGGAAATCGAGCTGCAGGAGCGCTAGTGGCCTCTAGTCTTGGCCTTGGTGCCAAACATGGCGATTAGCGTCCCTGGTGATACGCTACGAAGGGGTGGTTGGCCGCGGCCGAGAATCTGTCCCCAATGCCGAGCTACCTGGCTGGCTCATTGGCTTAGAATGGAAGAGCAGGCCATGAGATGGCAGCCACCCCAAACGTGAGTAGACCAGAAGTCGCCGTGGCGCAGTCAATACGATGCAAAAGCAAGGAGCATTAAACGAGGTGCGTCAAGTGTGATGTGTGCCGTCTGTCCTGCATGTCTGTTTGGCAAATCCCCGCCCGCGCCCGACTCGACCTCCACCCCGAATACCCAGTCGCTGTTTTAGCTTGTAATTGGTGGCTGGCGACATCCTTGCTAACCTGAGAGGACGGGATCTACATGGCTACCAGAGCGACAGATTTAGAAAAAGGAACATAATGAACGACTCTGCTAGAGTTGTGTTGAGTGCAATCATCGCCATTTACTAAAGGGATATTGACAAGTTCATATCTTGGTCACTTAACCAAGGAAAGGGGCCAGACTTTGCAATCTTCCGGTAAAAGAAGAAAAAAGAAAAAAAAGTCACATCTTTGGTCAGT